ACCCTCCGGGGAGACAAAAATTTGACAGCCGGGGGATGACGATCGGGTGAGGATCGTGTCCTGGGATTTGGTTCTAGGCGAGAAACCTGATGTGTCTTTTGTACAACTTGATTGTCCATAACAGCGGTACATCATCCGAGAAGGACAATGCCCACAGCTCTGGTCGACGCCTACCTGAGGCGAGGGCCAGTAGGAACACTATTTTCCACGTCAAAAAATTTGAGTGGTGCTGATCAGAGAGGCTCAAAGGGCGGTCTGCTTAGAGCGGACAACACAGCCAACAAGTCCGAGTTGGGCGGTTCCCTTGTATGGGGTCTTGGCGTCTGGAAAGCAGTAAATAGTCTCCTAATAATAGGACAATTGGCTAGTCTTGTTCCCGTACGTTTTCAAAGGTGGGGGACAAGGCTGACCTGTAGCCAACGAACGCTGCGTAGAACAAACCCACTTCGTCAATTAGGTGGACGAAAGAGCCTGCTACCTGGTCAATAGAGGGATGGTATGGATCAATCTCCCTTCTGCTACACCAATCAGTAAATGTCTGCATTGGTGGAATCCCTGTTCGCCCTGACCAGGACGTTGGCAGCCCGCTCAGATAAAGCTTTCGTATGTGCAGGTTTAATGAGAGCCTCTATGCGTGTAAGTGATACCCGCTGGGCTCGTTGGTAGTGCGCCGTCGGGTTGGGCGAAATTCAAATACTTGGCCCAGCTGGGCGATTCAAAGGAGATGGCAACTAGCTGGGTGCATCTCTATGTGCAGGTAGGCCCCGCTTAAGTCTAGTGGGGCTAGCCAGTCGAAACAGTGGATGGAGAGAACAACCCTGAATGGTGTCTCCATGTGGAACCAATCGAGGAGCACATACTGATTCAGTCTGCCTAGGTCCAGAACTGGATGCTTGCCACTTGTAGATTTGGTACTACGAACACCTTTGGGTAGAAGCCTGGATTTAGTTCCAGCTGATGTACCCTGTGTATGGCGTCTTTTTACAGCAAACTGCTACTTCCCGTCTGATTGCTTCCGTCTTGCTGGAGTCCTCTGGCAGTGCCCAACAGGGGAGACACTGACGGGGAAGATGGAGATTTTAGCTGTATCCCGTAACAGAATATCACCACCTGGAAAGGTCCAGGGATCGGTCACCTGCTGTCTCCAAACCGGACTACACCGGCGCAATCTTTGTACGACAGGGATATGTGGCCATGGGTTCGACAGTTGCGAGGGGGGGTGCTCTCTTCTCCCATGAGGTGCGTTCCCCAAGTCCTGAAGTAGTCACTAAGTTGTGACCTGGCCATTCACCGAACACATGCCTGTCCCCCCAGTTGCAGAGGTGAGCATCAAACACGCTTCCCCCGCTGCCGGGGTAGACGTCCGCCCAGGGAGGGTGAGAAGCTATCACCTGGCTCTTTCCTCCCTGGGGGCGCGCCGCTACTCTTCCCTCCCCTGGAAGGGTATGAGCGCTTGCCTCCTGGCTGACTCTGGCAAGCGGACGACGCCCTAGGGCATTGTGTTTTCTGTGCTTGGGGTGCCCTCTGCTTGCCCTTGGCAGGGCCAACTGGCTAGCGGATTTGATCTGAACCCTCTGGTTCACTGCACTCCGAAGCTCCGAGACTATACCCACCATTCCCTGAACAAAGAGAGTGGAAGATGTCCAGTCTGCGTCACTGAGGTGGGGACGTACCCCCTGACTCAGCTTGTCGGCGAAAACATGTGCGTCTAAAGCTGCGTCTCGTAGCACAGTAATGGCCCCCGCCAAAAGCCAGTTGACACTAGGGGATGTTGCACGTAGATGTGCGGTGGCCCACCAGTAAATGTGTCACCTGGTCTAGGAGGCTGGTGCGTTCTGCCTCCGAGGTCTCCAGAGTCCTGGGCACGCACAATAATTCCCTCAAGCAACTCTGCTCTTAGGGCTGGATGGGTTATCTCCGATTGAGCTGGCGAGAATGCCCATGGAACGTGGCTGTCCCCCTTTGCCCGGTTTGTCAAACGGAAATTGGTGGTACCGGGGTCTGAGGAAGGAGCCTTGGGATCCGGTTGGGGGCGTTTTGGTCTCATCCCACACTATGGGGTCTGATCCCGAAACCACACCGACTGGGTAGCGTTTGGTCCAGCGGGAAGTGTTGCCTAATGTTTTCTCCACCCGGGACCCTTAAGCATTACGTCCTCCGCGGCTGACCAACGTCCGCCCATCAACACTGTTTGCGTGCCCTGCACCCCATTCCGCACTCGGACGGACAGGGAGAGATGTGCCGATGGGGTTGCTTTGGATCCCGACGCCCGTGATCCCATAAGCGTTGAAGCAACCTTAGGTGGTCACCTTAGGATCAAGGGTGGGGGTATTTACATCGTATCACTGGAATCGATAATAATCTGCATCACCCCAAAAGCGTGGCTCACTGAGTCATTACGGATGGAAGACTCTGAGGGACTGCCCAGAGAACCGGCTGTATCCGACACGAGCCAACTACGTCTCCCTCCACTTTAAATATGTGAGAGGGAGCATGTTCGACTGTGCGTCTCATGGCAGGGTCGGTTCCCTCTGGGGATGCCCGTGGGTTGGTAAGAAGGGAGTCAAAACCCACAGCGGAGACCGGACACACGGATCAATTCGTTACCGTAGTACCGTTACTGCACGACGAACCCTGGCTGGCTGAAAGTAGGGAGGGGGTCAACGTGTGCCCTGCCCTGAAAGCCCTGCCCTGAGATTGGAGGCTTGGCTGCCAGCACCCCGTAGGCATTCAGTGGCATTCACCCAAAATTAGTGGGAGAGCCACAGCTGGGAACGGGGGTTCCCCGGAAGAGATGTGTTTGAATGCAAACATGTTTTCGTGTTTCTTCTCCTGCTTGCCCACCGAGGGGCCGCAGTGGAGACAGCTCGCTTCGACTGCGTCTGATCTACCTGGCCTGCCAGGGACGCAATTGCCCCGACAGTCCTTCGACCAAAGTCCTCAACTCAGAGGCAAACCGGTGCCATGAGGAAGGGTCCACAAAAGGGACCCGCATTGGGCCCCACAGGAGGAAAGCCTCCAGGGGCACAGCCTTTGCTGCAGCCGGTAAAATCGGGTAAACCACCGCCTGAAAAAACAGACTGTGAGGATGCCCTCCGATCAGCGGGGGGAGCCGAGAAAAAATATCGATACCTGCACCATCGGGTCTCCTACTCGACGTCCCGGTACACAAAGCACCGGTAGCCAAGCGTGAGGATTTTCCACTCATGCCAAACACGCAACTCAGTTTAACCGATTTGTTTACTGACGCGCGACCTTGCTGTGAAGAAACGAGTGACGCAGTCAGTCTCAGCGATTTTGATGGCTCTGAAAGAAAAATCTCAGGCCTCAGAACTCCAGTGAAAAACACGCGCCTTCACGGCAAAAACCTCGAACACTGCTTGCAGCGACAACAAAAGTATTTCGGATGCGGGTTCTATGCTGGTAAATTCTGAATATAACCACTGCACAGTCGACTCGAAACACGAGGAGACCAAAAAAAACGGCAGCGAGCCCTGGTGCTGTCATTACATCTATACATTTCTAAAAAATACATTGTAAATAAAAGACGACATGCATGAAGGGAACGAAATACAGTTGTAAAAAGAGGCACAGAAACGACACAAGGGTAAAAAAGACAAGAAAACTTATCCTACCATCTAGAATGTTGTATGCCACAGTTGCGGCAATAACCCACCCTAGAAACCCGGACAGGTTTAAGCAAACGAGCCAGGCAGAGCCGCTCAGAATCATTCCAGACGAGGCGGAGAAGAAAAAAAAGTAATTGTACAGCCGTTTATGGTGCTACCTCGGTCACGTGGTTCGTGACGTAAGGGACAATGAATCTTGGGGTCATGGGGCTTCCCCTGACCTAGATTCTATCTCTCCGTCATCGGCAGAATCGCTGATTAATGCCTACAGTTCAAAATAGTCATTTTGACTGACCGGAGTCTATGGTGGGTAATTGAATGTAGTGAATTAGAGTGCAAAGTTGTGGAAAAGTGGTGCAAAGTGTGAAACTAAAGTGCAAAGTAGTGGAAAAGTGGTGCAAAATGCAAATCTAAGGGGCAAAGTTGTGGAAAAGTGGTGCAAAATGTGAAACTAGAGTGCAAACTAGTGGAAAAGTGGTGCAAAATGCGAATCTAAGGTGCAAAGTTAAAGAAAAGGGGTGCAGAATGAGAATTTAAGACGCAAAGTTGTGGAAAGATGGTGCAAAATGCGAATCTAAGGTGCAATGTGTGAAACTGGAGTGCAAAGTTGTGGAAAAGTGGTGCAAAATGCGGATCTATGGTGCAATGTGTGAAACTAGAGGGCAAAGTTGTGGAAAAGTGATGTAAAATGCAAATCTAAGGTGCAAAGTGTGTAACTAGAGTGCAAAGTTGTGGAAAAGTAGTGCAAAGTGTGAAACTAGAGTGTAAAATAGTGGAAAAGTGGTGCAAAATGCGAATCTAAGGTGCAAAGTGTGAAACTGGAGTGCAAAATAGTGGAAAAGTGGTGCAAAATGGGAATCTAATGTGCAAAATAGTGGAAAAGTGGTGCAAAATGCGAATTTAAGACGCAAAGTTGTGGAAAAGTGGTGCAAAATGCGAATTTAAGACGCAAAGTTGTGGAAAAGCGGTGCAAAATACAAATCTAAGGTGCAATGTGTGAAACTAGAGTGCAAAGTTGTGAAAAAGTGATGCAAAATGTGAATCTAAGGTGCAAAGTTGTGGAAAAGTTGTGCAAAATACACATCTAAGGTGCAAAGTTGTGAAAAAGTGGTGCAAAATGTGAATCTAAGGTGCAAAGTTGTGGAAAAGTTGTGCAAAATACAAATCTAAGGTGCAGTGTTGTGGAAAAGTGGTGCAAAGTGTGAATCTAAGGTGCAAACACAGAAGTGGAATTTGAAGAAGGCATTCATTTTAACATGGGGCATGTAATCACGGTAACGAAAATTTTTTAATAAATTTTAAATACTGAAATTAGACTAAGTACAATTAAATCCAGTGCATTTATTTTCTAAGGAACTATATGTCAACCATTACTGGTATCATAACCAACTTACATTGATTGGTGCTAGCTTGAATTTGACGGGTTCAACTTCTGCTTCTGACTTTTTCACACCCTCTATTTCATCATATGTGCAAGACTCTTCACTAAAATCATCATCAAAATCGTCTGGGTCTCCTAACGGGATATCATCCTCCGAATCATTCTCATCATTGGCTTCTGCCACAATATTTTCATAATAGTTAATTTCTTCTGTTTCCGGAACAGTAATTGGGTCTACATCTGGCTCCTTCGTTGGTGGTGCAGGTACCGACGGAGGGATATTTTTAGGCTTGATGGGAGGCGGGTTAGGGGGCCTCGGAGGAGGCACTGCTTTTGGTTTATTGCCCTTTGGTTTATTAACTACAGCATACAGATGAGCAATCTCCAAATTCTTAGATTCATCTTCTGGTGAGGACGGTACCTTGTCAACAGTCTTTTTCGTTTCTTCACTACTTTCTCTTTAAGGTAGAGATGCAGTTTATTTGTGAATTGCAATCAAAAATAGTTTTTTTCGTTTTTTATATAGATTTTTATCTAAAGAACATTCTGTGAAAATTTGACCAATAATTTCTTATTGGAACACCATTAAAATTGCTGTTTATTTTCTGTTTAAAAATAAAAAACACTCACACGTGGCAATGTTTATGTCCAATTGCCTAATTTGCATGAGTAAGCAAATAACAGGACCTTTGATTGACAATATACAAATCGAGATAGCAAACCAAATATTATATTTCCTCAGCGTTTTTTCCTAATTTTTATCATTACATTATGCGTGGTGTGAAAAGAAAGAGAGATAGAAAGAA